CGGCTCCAGCGATGCCCGGAGAAGAGACTGAATCCATCCAGCATCCCGCTGCAGCCGCAGCTTTGCGGAACGGAGCTTGGCGGGGCAGAGATGAGACCATAGGGTGACTGTAGGGCCCTGCTCGAACTTGGCACATCCTTGGGAAAGGTCCAGGCTCTCTGGGTGCCCTGGGCTGGTGCCTCCACGCGATGGGCACCCGCTGGGTGTGAAAATGGTTCGGGAGAGGCAGCACCCAGGAGCTGAGGAACTGTAAGGGTCGGGATAGGCTGCCCCCAGTGCAGTCAGAAGAGCCCCGCTGAAATGCCCAGGGAAGACCCCAAGATCCAGCACTGGGTCATTCCCTACTGTCCCCAGCCCCTGGCTCAGTGGCAAGCAAGCAAAACCCGCTGGTAGCCCACTGTCGTAGCCATTCCCCCATGCAGCAGCACCCCAGGCACGCGTCCTGTCGGCTCACCTTGCGTTACCACCTTGCCAAAAACGGGCAGGGTGTCCAGTGTGGAGCAGTTCCAGCGGCGGTTGCGGAACTGGTACTGGCACTCCTCGATGGCCAGCTGGGCTCCGCGCCGCACCGAGTCCATCACCTCCAGGTTTCTCTTGCACATCTGCACCTGGCGCTGGATCAAGCCCTTCAGCTTCTCGCAGGTCTCCTCCTCGGAGATGCTCCCCACTGAAGACAGCTTCGCCAGGTACCTGCCGTGACAGCCGGCACAGCCGGTTAGGAGGCAACGGCTGGGGAGCATGAACCCCGGTTCAGCTGGGACCCCCTGCCCCACAGATAGCGAGGAGACCCGGCCTCTTACCCCCTCCATAGCTGAGACCTGGTGCCCATCTGGGGTCACCTTAAATGTGCCACCGCGGTGGCCCCACAGGATGCATTTTTGGCTGGCAGAGAGCGAGCCCGAGCAAAACAACCGTCCCTCTACAACCCGGTCCCCTGTCTCTCGGGGAGCCCAGCTGCTGGCTCCCCTTTGCCTCTGTTGCCTGCAAAGAAGATATTTTTGTCTGAATGTGCCCGGTCAGGTCTCCTGAGTACCGGCACATCCAAGTGCTACTAGGAAAAGCCAGAGGTCTCTGAAGTCAGCCAAAACAAGCAGGACAGGCGCTCGGCTGCCAGCTCCAGCTGCCACACTGCTCCCGCAGCGTGCCTGTGTGCTCATCACTGACAAACATCACCCTCCAAACCACTTCCCTCCCGGAGCCTGCTTTTAGCTCCCCCAGCCCCAGCCAGCATGGATGGCCTCCGGGAGCTGCCAGGTTTCCTGGCAGTTGGGATTCGAGCAGGGCTGGAAGTGGGGAGGACAGAGCCAGGAGCTGGGCACCTCCTCCACCAGCCCAGCTCATGAACGAGCTCTTTGCTGACCTGGAGAAGACTGGTCCCGCATGGAGATGACTCCGTGGTCTGTTTTCCCTCACCCCATCCTCAGCAGAAGGAGTTACAGAGCTGCTCTCAAGCAACAGCATCAGGAGGAAGAGGACCCTGGGCAAGCACCCTGCAAGCTCTTGGCACGTCCCCATCAAGCCTGTGGGCACAACGGTCCATCCTGCACACCCCGGTGACCCACCCCCCCGTGCCCCACACACGTATGTGCTCGCCCCTTTCCCAGGTCCATCCTCCCGCCCCAGCATCTGGGTCCCACCAGGGGTTTTAGGATAGGTCCACACAGCTCGGTCAGGCTCTTGGATAAGACTTGGTCAGAGCCTCTATCTGTGCCGACACATGCCTCACTCCTTCCCATGGCTGCTGGCACCCACTTTAAGTGACACTGCCACCAGTGCAGCCCCATCCTGCCGTGGAGAAGGGAGAGCCCTGCGCTGGCAAAACTCACGCCTGCACCCGCTGACCACACCGAGGTCTAACATCCTCAGGATTCACCAGCGTCAGCTCACGTTGCTGCCTCGTCTGCACCGAGACACGAGTACTGAGCAAAGGCTTTTTGGAAACCTCATTCCTTGACTCTGCATTTCCCAGCCCTACAGAGCTTGTGGGTTTTTTTTTTTGTTTGCTTGTTTTTTTTCCTCCTCCTCCTCCGAAGTTGCGACATCCTGCTAAGGATTTTTCCTTTGAAGCCCTGCTTGCCTCCGAGAAGTGACTGTGCAAAAGTGGCTCCTGCTCCCTGCCTGTTCCCATGTGTCCCAGGAGCCAGATCTGCTGCCTTCAGCCACAAAATCAAGTTGTCACAGCCTCTTCCTCCCAGTACCCCTGCCAGTTTGCCCCAGGAGGAGACAACAGGATTTTCTCTTCTGTGCATCAGCAGAATTGTTCACCAGCTTGGTTTCATGCTTACAATTGGGGGGCTGTGGGAGACGGTGAGAAAAGCCGGGTTGGCTTGCAGTGTCCGTGGGGAGTCTGCATGGCAAGCTGTCAAAAGCATTCAGCTTTCCTTGTGTGCGGAGATCACTTGATGCAATGCCTCTCGGACAGCGGGAAGTGGCAGGCTGCCGTGCTTTCAGAGCCAAGTTCTCTTCTAGCCTTTATACCAGCTAAGCATCTTTGCCCGAGGCTTTCTGCTCCTCCAAGGGCACAGCCCTGTTTGCAGAGGACCGGCCCGTGCAGCTCCCTGATGGACACAGCTGGCTTGGAAACCGCACTGTGGCCAAACCCAGGGCTGTCACCTTTCTGCTGGACCCCGCACTGTGCAATGAGTGTCCGCGTTCCCATTCTGCGGTCCTGGACTCGGGGTGCAACAATCGCTGTTCCAGTATCTTTCTGCATTCGGCTGACCCAGGATGGAGCCAGCAAACCACCCCGGGAAGCTCTGAGGAATGTTGATGCTGAGCAAGCCCAGAGTGACTGTGACAGCTCTGTCCCCTCCCAGGTCCACCATCATTTCAGTTTGGGCACGGGGACGCTGACACACAGCAGAGTGGTGAGACTCATCCCCAGACACCGTGGGGTTGGTTGGTCAGCTTTGAGCCTGGAAGCCAAGAAAACCAGATTCTGCCTCCAGCACTAATCCCTTGTGCTGATTTGGCTTTTACCCCCTCCTGAAACTTGGTCAGAATTCATCATCCCAGGGAACCAGCTCCTGCAAAGCAGCGTGGCCGGTCCTGCCGCTGAATCGGTGCCTGGTCTGACTGCAGGCAGGAGAGAGCCGTGCCGCAGGTGTAACAGCCGCATTAATATCAGCTCTGCTCAGGATTGGGGCATCATCTCCTTTTTTAATATATTTCCCAGCTCGGTGGGTTTCTTCAGGCGATGGGGAGCTATAAATTCAAAGCACACACGAAGAAACGCATGACAAGAGCCTTTCAAGCCTTTCCAAGTAGATGCGCCTGATAAGATGCCTCCCCAACAAGCATTTGAAGCTGTTTGGGATGATAAAACGGAGGCCAAGGATGCTTCAAAGATAGGTACAGCTCTCCAAGAACAGGTCTGGTAATTTGTTTTGCAAGGCGGGCAAAGAAGATGAAGCTATCCAGAACGGTGCTCTGGCCTCTCTCGCCCATGACAGATGCTCTGTGTGCCATCATCCCTGCCTCTCCTCGGGGATGGAGGCAGCTGTGCCTAAAATGCCGTGGCCCCATCAAACTCCCAGCTTGCTATCTGTCTCCTACATCCCGTGAGGACTACCACTGCTTTCTAAACAAGGCTTTTTTTTTGGTGGGGGGACGCTCCCATCCTGGTCCATGGTCCAGAAAGGATCCAGAGGTTGAGTCAAGGATGTAAGGAAAGACCTCTGCTGAAGGACCTCAGGTTTGAGGCTTTGACCTGGCACCTCTCCACACCACATCCAGGAGCACTGGGGAGGAACACCTCACCTCTTTCTCCCCCTCTCCGGGGCAGCTGAAGGGCGAGATAAGAGCTCGGGAACATGCTCTGCCCTCACCAGCCCTCGAAGATGCTTCCACCCCACAACTCGGAGCGTTTCCCTGGGCTGTGGAGCCCGAGCAAGGCACCAAACCCATCTGCAGCATCCTACGGTCACCATGGAAACCTGAGTCTAGCACCGTGCCTGGTCCTTAATGACAACCTTGCTCCAAACTTCATTTTCCTGGACTGAGTTGGTAGAAACCACGGACAAAGCCTTTCTGCCTCTACCCACACAGTCAGTAAGATGGGCACAGCAGGAGCAAACCCACCAGTTCCTGCCCTCTGCAAGGTCTCAGTGCATATCTCCATCCTGATATCACACCCTGATTGCTGCTCAGAGCTGCGCAGAGCTATGGATTATGACTTGAGTCTCATATGCAGCCTCAAAACAGCCCTGCTTGTGGAAAAAAACCCCCAAATAATGGCATATTTTCTTCCTTTTACAACATTGGGTGAAGAATGTTTCAGGGGGTGAGCTGCTGTCCAAGCCATTTGTTCAAGTTTTGTCTTCTTGCTTCACCGTGAGATTTATGTTTCTTTTCTCCTGCCTTTAAATCCAGACAAGTCACTCGCAGAACAAGCTCCTTTTTAATAAAAGTCACTGATTTAACACAAAGCTGACAGAAAGCCCTTCTTTTTTTTTTTTTTTTTTTTTTTTTTTTTTTTTTTCCATCCACAGCATATAGATCAAGATTGAAGCCCCGTAATTTAAGCAGCTGCAGTTGATCCCCCCTACAAGATGGCAAATAAGGAAACCTCAAATCCAGGGAGCTTTGAAAAGGAAGAGCAGGGGGAAGCCCTGCTTTAATAAAAATGATGATAATAATTTCAGGAGGAAGAACAGGAGGAAATTTCAGGAGGAAATTGGTGGAATGACAAGAAGATGGTGGAAGAGCCACAGCGGCTGGCAGATAGAGAGGGGAGGGGATTCCCTGCGGTGGGAAGGTGTGGAAATTTGAGCTGTTGACAAATTCTCACAAGAGGCAGGTCAGGGAAGATGTAGCAGATGTCTTGGAGAAAGCAGAAATCTCTGGTGTTTCTTTTATTTAAACAAATGAGTTTCAAGTGTGAGAACTCTTCGTACTGTCTCATTTTTGGGAATATTTTCCTGAAGATGGTAACAGTCAGACCCAAGCCAGTGGTATCACTATTGTATCACCCAGAGATGCTGAGAAGTCAGACCAGCTCAGAAGCTTCACCCTGTTCAGCAAACACTCAACCTGCCTGGGAGACTTGCCTGGCCAAGGCCATAAAAGGCTTCTTCAGATCTTGAATTGCAAAGATGCTCCAGCTCTGCTGGTCTCTCAGAGGCAACATCTGCAAACATCCTCCCTGCCCACGGAGCAACAAAGTCAGCCGGGGTCAGCAGTGCATCTCTGTGCCTCTTGGGGCTGGACGTATGGTCAGCCAGTGACTCAGGGACCATAGAATCACAGAAGGGTTTGGGTGGTAAGGGACCTTAAAGCCCATCCAGTGCCACCCCCTGCCATAGGCAGGGACACCTCCCACTAGCCCAGGTTGCCCAAAGCCTCATCCAGCCTGGCCTTGAACCCCTCCAGGGATGGGGCATCCACAGCTTCTCTGGGCACCCTGGGCCCCTGCCTCACCCCCCGCACAGGGAAACATTTCTTCCTCACATCTCATCTCCATCTCCCCTCTTGCAGCTTAAAATGTATTTAGGATTGAGACTGCCTTGTGCGGAGAGGTTTCCTCTGAAGAAGAAGAAAAGTGCTTGTTTAAGATGCAAACCCCAAAAGTGTATGGAGATAGACGCAAAGAGAGAGAGGGGCTGACCAGGCACCACGAGGAGCCATCCTGCAGCTATGGGGAAGGGGATCATCTTTTCCTTGTTGCTTTTCCCTTCCAAGCAGAGAGGAGG